TGAGGGGCGGGCTCAGGTGTGATAGGAGGCCGGCTCCAGAACTCAAACTCACGCGCGCCGGGGCTGCTGAGCGGCCTGAGCCGAAGTCTGTGTGTGCGCGGGAGTTCATATCGCCCCTGGCCTTGGGGGCTCGAGGCCTGGCAGGCGAACGAGCCGCCCGGACGGGGCTGGCGGCCCATGTGGCCCCGGGCCAAGGCGTGCATATTAAGGTTGGGATTAGAGGAAGCATGCTGGTGCAAACAAGACCGAAAAAAATGAATTGTGCCAGCACAGCAGGTCATCCTCTTGACCGTGAATGCCTCCAATATACCGTCTCTACATCCGCATCCTAAAACACCTACCCTACCCTGTATATGCTAAGGAGCTAAATTATTCATTGCATCACTTGTGAAAACTTGAATGTGACGACATGACAAAACATCGTGTGACATTTGACGTGTCACACTTGTTTTCCAGTTTATTGTGAAAAAGATAAGTTAGATGTCAATCTTAAGGTGGAACTACTACTCACCGTAGATACGCCCTGCAGAAAGGCACGCTTGGCCAGCGGGCCGGGCCCGTCCACCGTCTTGCCGTCGTCCTCAGGTCCCCAAGACGCCGAGTAGATGTCGATGTGCGACGGGTTGACGCTGAGCGCCGCCGCCTCCACGGCGTCGTTGACCGTGCCATCCAGCATGCGAACGCCTGCAGAGAGACAGAGAACACGTCATCAGTGAGGTGGTCTGGCAAGGGAGATTAATTAACTGCAATAAAAGTGAGGGAAAATATTATTCCGGGGTCTTTCAAAGACGAGAAGAAGGGAGGGTGGCAATGCATTCATAATAACACCGCTGTCTTGGCAGACCTCCCCCACCCCCCTTTCCCTTCATCTTAAGCCACGCCGCAAACTTTTCACGCGCGGCTAAAGACAGTCATCCGTCTCCAGACTTGTTACATCCCGGGGATTTAACCTTATTCTGGAAGTCGTCGGCCGCACCTAACGCGGCTAAAACGAGGCCGCCGAGTCATGAGGCGGACGCGCAGCAGCCGCAGCCCCGCCGCGCCACCCGCGGAACAAATGCAGCCGCCAACTACATCAAGAAGTGCTTCTTCACCGCGCGGAAGAGCGCCAGCCGGCGACACGCACACGCACACACACACACACGCAAGGCACACAACCACACTGATGGGAAAACTTGCAGGCTCCCGGTTACAGGCCGCGTAATTAATGTATTCATCATCCGCACTTGATGAGCCTGGTGCGACACGCCCCATACCCCACCTCCACGCCACCCCTGACAAAGAATGTCAAGCAAATAAAAACGTGGCAAGGCGGAAAGTATAAGAGGAGCAAGTCGCGGAGAGGGAGAGGAAGAGGGGGGGAGGAGAGGGGGGGTTTATCCAATGCGATGGCTGCCACCGCCTCCCCGGGCGAAGACAAGAAGGCAAGCAGCTTATCAAGGGTGCGGTCCCAATAGCAAGGCTGGAAGAGGATGAGATGGTGGTATTCCGTCCGCTCCATGAGACTAGCATGGGCTCGTAGGAACGAAATGTGGTATTGTGTTGTTACCCAGGTTTTATTGTGGTTAAAGTGTGCGCTCAGCCCGTGATAGCGGGGCTAGAAAAGAAAAAGAAGACGCACATTCCAACAAATCCGTGATACGACACATTCTATTTGAATCGCGACGCGAGGCAACATTCACTTTTGATTGAATGTGAACGCCACAGTGCACCAAGGAAATCATATCGTTTTTATTAAGTAAATTACTCCTGTTTCAAGTAGGTTGTACTCGGGTTTTCACAGGTTTCACTTAAAATAGAGTGAAAATTTGATTTGGGTACGAGCAATTTATCTCTTTGAGAATGAATAATGCATCACAAGACACTATTTCAATGATATTTTCACTTTGTTTCAAAAGAAAAATGAACTTGTGCATATGCAAACATGCAAGTACAAATGATATACTTGACACGAGAAATGATTTTTCTAGGTAAACGTATTGGATTATCAGTAATAAATAGTTTCAGAGCATACAAAACCAACCCTAGAAATTCATGCCAAAACCTCAAAACCTAGGAGCTCTTTCCCAATCCATTGACTTCATAGACGGACAGAAGCAGAAGTGAAAGTTTTTGGTCAGTGCACCTTTTGTCCGCCATCGCTGACCCAATCAACACTAACCTTCACACCTATTATTGCTTAAACGATAGCGAAGCACATTAGTCTAGGGGGACGTAACGGTGTTTCGTGAGATATTGTGAAGCCTGTTGCGCGAGACGTGATCTGACGAACATCTACCTCGTTATTTAAAGACTCGAGTTGCGCGCTTAGATGACATACTCTTCTTCTTTTGTTATTAAAAATTTCCTTCTCATGTGCGGGCGAGCGTTACTGTTTGCAGTCCATTTGCTGGCGCGCTTTACATGGACACGGCGGCGGGTAGGAAGAGCGGGAAAGAGGTGCAGAGAGTGGCGGGGAGCTTTCAACGACGCTCCTGTGCCTTGCGGCCATTATTCGGATTTCAAAAACGGGCAGAATGAAAAGCAGAAAATCATATGTCGAGGCAAGCAGCGCGGCTTTCCCCCGGTCGTGTTTTCGCTTCCCCTCTACCTCTCCCCCTATCGCCGCTGGGGCTTAAACTCACCCATGAAAAGACATGCGACGCGAGGCACCATTCAAAGACCAATCTGCAAAATAAATATACCGCTACATCTCTTTGGGCCAATTAGCAAAGGATTCGGCTGGTGCTGTTGCTGTGCTGGCTTCGCCACCCCCCGCCACGCTGTGCGCCCTTTCCGGCGCGACACTCCTTTTTCTTTGTCCCGTTCACTCCCCCTCCCTTCCTCCTCTCCTCTCCCCGCAGAACCTGCGTGTGCGCTTCAGTCATCGATTGTCGCTCTCAGCAAATAATTGCCAAGCATTAGCATCGCCAGGTAATTACAGCTCGCTGCAGGTACGATCGAAGGCGAGCAGTTCCTACGGCACAGCCGTTTATTAGGAAGCTTTTCCATCTTACCCTTTCTTTCGCCGCAACATCATGAAAACTTTGGAACTTTTCTCTGGACAGGAGTACGAGCAGGTTCACTATGATAAAACAAGTGTTCGACCGCTAAACACTTCAAAGTCGTGGGATCGTGGGCAGATCGTGAGTTGAATGCACTGATGAAAAAGATTAACAGGTTGACAGGTCGTGTTAATTTAAAAACGGAGTCATATTGTTGAAAGCGGCAACATCCAGTCTTTTCTGTGACGCTCACTTTTTTTATCGTTAGTCGAAGAAAGGGCTGTGGCAGCAGTAAAACCCGGTAAAACCGCTCACCTCCTGCTGTATTGATGGCATTCCTGATTGCGTGAGCTATTGGGGGTTGACCGGAGGAGACCAGAGGAGGGCGTAGAGGTGGGGAAAGGGGGGGGGGGGTGAACTGCTGACCCCATCCTTGCCCGGTCCTACAGCCGCAGCAGTCCAGAAGGAGCTCGGACCCGAGGAAAAACAGTAGCACAAGCGGGCTAATACCCCCGAACACCACGGCGTTGCCATAAGTCTCTTTCCCCTTTCACTTCTTCCCGGGACGCACTACCGCCGACCTGCTCCCGCTATTTGTCTCCCTAAATGCGTCCGCAGCCCGCTTGAGAGATCGCCGCAGAAAATCGTAATTATTTCGGCGGAAATGGCGGCGTGTCCCGTGATACGGCTCGCCGGATCCTTCCATTACTTTCACCCTCCGCGGGACCCTCCAGCCCAACGAATCCTTTCTGACGTCGCGGCCTAATTACTTTCATTCCATACAGGCTAGTTTAGTTTAATTTTTCTTTATTTTAAAAAAAAGTACATAAACGATTTTAAATTTAGCTAGTCAATCGGGCGCCGGCCCCCCGTCCCCTCGCCCGCCCTATTGGCCTGGCATCAAAGAGAGTCCCTCAATCAGGATTCCTTCTTTTTCGCCGCTTGCCCGATTCTAATTTACGTTCTGAATGGGCGGACCGGGCAGTCCATCGCCCCCTTAACGCCATCGCCAGGGCATTGGCACGCAGATGTCGCAGTCAGAAGAGTGTGTGACAGAAACGTACAAGTTATCTCGTGCATAGCAAATGTGGCATGCTTCTAACATCCAAGTAGGCAAGGTTAGGGAATAAGTGCAACCAGCTGCCGATATGCGGCAACTTAATCACAATGTTGTAAATTTGTCAACAAAAAAAAAAATCTCCACTTTGACCGACCGAATAGCGATTCGCACACTTGCAAAAGTGTGTATGTTGTACTCTATAGCAAACACACAAAACGGCCCCGCTACGCAGTTGCAAATTATGAATCGGCACGGGCGTGCGAGGCGCGCTACCTCAATCCGAGCGAACTCCACCATATCTGCAAATGACCCGCGGGCGTCAAGGGGAAACCGCTTACATCAAACAAACAAACGTATATCGCTCTTAATTGGCCGGGCCGAACGCGCCCGTACAAACTCTGGCGTGAAGCCGTAGCGCGGGCGCGCGCACACACTCTGGCGTATGGACGAGTGTTTGCACGGCTTTGCTTTGGTGCGCCCGCCCCGGCGGGGCCCCGGCACGCTCCTGGAGGCGTGGCGTGGTTCGGCCGACGAAACTTAATTAGTTTGGCTTCACCGCTGAGTCCCCCCTCCATAGTAAAGCACACGTACACAATCTCTCCCTCTCTTTCCCTCCCTCTCTCCGCTTTTGCCGCTCTCTTCCCTCGACCGCGGCTCTCTCTTTCGCACACGTGATGGAAGGCGAGGCACCCGACCGACGGGTAGTAGCCAACAGGTAAACTCTCCCCCTGCTACCCTTGCATCCCCACCACCAACCCCACCACCCGCACCCATTCTGATGGGGAAAGAAAACCAAGACGAATAAAAGGGGGAGTGGCGGGGGGTGCAAAACGGCGTTTCCGTCTTCCGCACTTGTTTCGTCTGAATCGACAGAGCCGTCGCGCTGAGCCCGGCCGCGGCCGGGGCGGGCAACAGGCAGGCAGGCCACGGGCGTAGTAAGTCACCGGGGGGACAGGGCAGGAGGGCCGGGCGAAAGGGATTCAGGGGCTTTTTTGTCCCAGGATGAGCTATAGCCGCCGTGGCCCACACGGAAAGAACCCCGACGTTGATGTAACGCCAGACACGACAGGCGCGCACAGGCGGCTGTACAGCTTTTTTCCCCGCACAGAGCAGCCATCGTACCGCCGCCCGTCAGGTGCATACCTGTACACTACAAATCCCATGGAAGATGTTGCAAGGGATGCTGGTAGCGCGTGGAGGGAGGTCGACTTTTAAATGTATTTTCAAAATCAAAGGCAAATCTGTTAATTTGAATTCAAAATTTCGGAAACTCGTAAGGTAATGACTCTACATTACGTAGTTACGGTTGCACCATGTGACGAATGGACATGACGCTGTAACCATCGTTAAACTGCATCTGAAGTAGACCCGGTCTGCGAAAAATTTCTTTGTGAAATTATATCTTTTTAGACAGTCCCTAAGACTGCCTTTACCAAAAGGCAAAGTGCCCCCAACCCCTACCTCCCTTTCACGGACTGTAAAGCGTATAGAGTGACCTTTCTTTCCCGAATAGAGCGACGCTCGCGAAAATGACTCAAAAGGAGTCTTATTCGTAACTAAAAATATCGCAAAAAGTTACTCGAAACGAGCGATGAAATTAATCGCTACCGCTACTGACCTCCTATGCTGGCGTGGTACGCGACGCCCACCCCGCAGAAGGTGTTGAAGGCCTGCGCCGCCACCTCGCCGGCACACCGGGTGCCGTGCTTGTTGTCCCCGTTGTCCCGTGGCGTGGGGTCCGGATCGCCGTCGTTGATGTCAGCCGAGGCCATCGGGTCCTGGAAACACAACAACAGGTCAGAGCTTCATACATGAACTGCCGCGGGGGCGCACGGATATCGCGCGAGCATCCATCAGCTTATACCGTACATCAAATAACCAATGGCAGCGCGGGACATCGGAAAGCAAATTCGCGTTTATTGTTCCACCGTCATTAATTGAGTTACGCTGGGCAAACAATGTGAACGAAACAATGAAGGGGACAACTTACGACCGCCGCTGCAACGTTTATTGACTCAAAACTATAGGACATCATAAATGATGAACGAGAGGACCCAAACAATGAGGATAGCCCAAGGGTCACCACCAAGTACTCACTGTACGAGACATAGCTATTCGACCCACAACATTTCCATTCGATTTGAGTTGCCTACTTCACCGGCATTCATTGGCTGAGCTTGCGAAGCCTTTTGCTGTGATGTG